ACGTCTAAGGGCGCCGATATACGCACACCACATTGTCATCGAGAGCGCTCGGGAACGTCGAGAATCGGAGGTCGCGAGGTACGCGTGCGGAAGTTCCAGAGCGGTGCACGAGGCGAGCAGCGGCGGTACTCGAAGAGTCGCGATGTCATCGGCCGTAGCCGGAGGGTCGGTGTTCGAGGGTTAAATCCGAGGGTTTTGGGGGAGTCGCGGTGTCGAGGGTAAACACATACCTCGGCGCGAGCAGGCGCGTGCAGGCGTCGGTTAGGTGCGCGATTTCTCTCGCTCACTTTCTCTCTCTCTCTCTCTCTCTCTCTCTCTCTCTCTCTCTCTCTCTCTCTCTCTCTCTCTCTGTCTCGGCAGACTTGTTGGTCGCTGAAGAACAATGGCGCGAAGCGGAGCAGCGCGGCCACGTCGGGAGGATGCTGCCACAAAGGGCACGTTTTCCGAATAATTTCACGTGGCGGCCCTTCGTTCGCAGTCGGCCGAGCCGAAAGAAGCGCGATCCTCCGCTCGGAGAAGGACGAGGAGGAGGAGGAGGAGGAGAAGAAGGAGGAGGAGGAACGAGGTCGAGAAGCGAAGCGAGATCTCGCGGGCGAGGGAGTACATCTTCAAGCATCAAGCACGACGCAACGAGCTCTCGTCGTTACGCAAGAGTGCGAATCCTGATCAATTGGATCACTCCCCCCCCCCCGACCGACCGGAATCGATTCCACCTTCGCGTTAATCTACATAGAGCGAGTTCCTCCGTCTCGGGCGCATCTCCGAATCTCCGCGACGAGCGCGCAACGCCGCGTCGCCGACAACAATGGACAACGCGGAGAGGATAGCCGAGTTTATGATGCTTAATAAATTCCGCCCGTTGTGTGCGTCCTCCTCGCGTGTGCGTGCGTGCACGCACGCGGGTGTGCGCCTGTGTGTGTGTGTGCGGCTCAACCTTCATTCATTCCGAGCGGCGGATCGTAGGACGAGGGAAAAGACGTGGACGAGACCGACGAGAGAGTTACCGGCCGCTCATTTAGCCCGGCAATTTATTCTCGCGTTTTGTAATTAACACCAGGAAAGAAGTAGCAGAGTTATTCTTCTCCTACGGGCACGGGACGTGGCACGGGTGGAAGCGACTACTCCGGTCAGTCTGTTCCCTCTCCCCCGCCCCCGTCATTTCGCTTCGACTCGCTCCACCTTCGACTCTTCCTCACGTGAAGAAAACGTACGTATCACTATTAAGCGTCAGGGCGGTTGAGGCCCGGAACCTCCTGGACCAACTCGAGAATGAGAAATAGAAGAAGAAGAGGAGATGGAAAAGGGAACGGGGAGGAGGAGGGGAGAGAGAGAGAGAGAGAGAGAGAGAAAGCAGGTGAAGAAGGAGGAGGAGGCGCAGATGAGGGAGGGAGAAGAATGGAAAAGAGACGGAGAAAAGAAAATGGGGGTGGGAGGCAAGAGATGAAGCGGGGAGAGGGCGAAGGAGGACGGAGGAGGATGATGGAGGCCTCTCTCCTCTGCATGCCACCGCAGTCAGCTCCAGACAGAAAGCGGTCTGTATAATTATGGGTTGTCACCTCATCAGCTCCGGGAGGGGCCAGGGAGGTGGCGGCGTTGGTCCAGGACGCGGGGGTAAGGGCGGCAGGCTAGAGGAGTGCAGTCTTTAGCTCAAATTGTGTTTTATCGTCTCTCGCATTTGGCTCTGGGGGTTCCACCCAGTGGCGCGGCGACCGGAGGGGGTGAGATTGAGTCCGCCCGGAGCGTCTCCTCTGCCCCTCCGCTCCTCCTCTCGCGCGCGATTTTCTCGGAAGGTGTTCGTTTCTGCCCGACGCGACGCGACGCGACGCGACGCGATGCTGGACGTCGCTCGTCCGCCTGCCAATCTGCGGCTATATCGCTCGGCTACTTGTTCGCTCGCGAGAAAGAGAGAGAGAGAGAGAGAGAGAGAGGGGCGGGGAAGGGGGGAGGGAGAAGAGCGACGAGAATGTGCTCGCCGTTACGAGCGCGTCGAGTTAATAAACTGAACGACCGAGATCACACGGCGATGTTGTGAGACGAGCGAGAAGGTGTGCTCGGTCGACCAGAGAGAGTGAGAGAGGGGGAGAGAGAGAGAGAGAGAGAGAGAGAGAGAGGCGAGGGCGAGTTGCGCGTAGAGCGTCACGCGTCAAGGACCTCGAAACGTCTTCATCGATCACGGGATTCCGACACCGCGCGCATTGTGGCCGGTAAATACGTATTGTCGGGGCTATAAAGTCGCGCGAAAGGTGCGTTTTAGCTATCGGCTCCGTGCCCCGATTTGCTGGCCGCTCTCTCCGCCGCTTCTCCCCTTCGCTCTGCCGTCCCCCCCGCTCCTCCTTGTCTCGCCTGGCCGCGCCACCCTCTCTCGCGCGCATACACACGTACCAATCTGCCGGGCGCGAGGGCACATATATAGAAAAAAGGGCCACTGCGCGAGAAGGTACTGAGGCTAAGTGGCGAGTTTAGAGGGATTTCATTAAATCATATGGATTGGGGATAATGTATGTTATTGAGCGGAGCGTTCAAATCGCGCTCTATAAGTTGTAATAAGTCCAATTTTAGGGCCGGTCATGGGCCGGATCTCGCAGTGGTTGTCGAGCGATTCGGTCGCCCGGCCGCCGCCGGCTGCCAATCGGCCCGCGGTCGCTGCGGAATGACAATCACTGGGACCGGCGAACCCGCCACTTACTCGTCAAACGGCCAGCCGGTCCGCCGAAATCACTGCCATTTAGATAATTTGTAATGAATAGGCACCGCTCATTCCATTCCACCCCTACCACCGAGATCTCTCGCCCCTCTCTCCCCCCCCCCTTGCGCTCATCTCTCTGTCTCTCGCGGCCTCAAAAGGTCCCAAAAAGGCACGTCTGACCGCCGACTCTCGCCAGTCGGCCCGCCAATGACATCAGTAACGTTTGTCCAATATTTGCGGAAGGGACAGAGAGAGAGAGAGAGAGAGAGAGAGATGACATCGTTTATGCCAGGCGCTCGCAGGAGATTTCCTTGGAGCACAGCAAGAAATAAGTACATGATAATCCGGTACGATAAGAAAAAGAAAAAAAAACAATAATAGTCCGCCGAGTCGTAATAATACGTACAGCAAGCGGCTATGAGAATGACGGAATTACACCTTGAACAAAAAAGCAAGGCGCAGATAATGAAGCGCAGGTACGAGCGGAAGGAGAGGGAGAGAGAGAGAGAGAGAGAGAGAGAGAGAGAGAGAGAGAGAGAGAGAGAGAGAGAGAGAGAGAGAGAGAGAGAGAGAGAGAGAGAGAGAGAGAGCAAGGAGAGGAGACAGAAGCAAATGCAAAGTCACGTTAACGCGTACACGTGCAATAAAGAGGAGACTGGCACAAGGAGGAGACGGGCCAGGCGTATCAAGGAGAGTCCTCGGGGAGACGAAAGAGAGGCGAGGGAATTTGGAGCGTAGAGTGTCAAGGGACGACTCATGTCGCGAGCGGGACGACGCGCATGAAAGGGCGCTTTGGACGGAAGTCGCAAGAGACCGTGTCTTAAATTCTTCTACGCTTCGCGAGTCCTCGCCGGAAATGATCGCGCATGAGAGAGAGAGAGAGAGAGAGAGAGAGAGAGACCCCGCGCTCCTCGCAGAGGCGTGTTGCGCGTTCGGCAGACCTGGTGCGTCGAGCAACCCCACGAAAGGAGCTCCTGCCGATCTAGCCAGTCTAGCCAGTGTCTCGCAGGACACTGCGATGAGAGCCATTCCGAGAAAGCCGCGGCACCGTCCGGCCGGGGCGAGCCACTTAAGAAAGAATGCGAGATTCCATCCTCGTGCAAGCGATCGGGACGCAAGGACGGAAGGAAGGAACGGTGGGCAGGACTCGACAGAGGATCACCTCTCGCGCGACTCACGCACGCACCGCGAAAGCGAGAGACCGCCGCGCCGAGCCGAAACGCGCGCCAACGCCGACACCGGGCGGCGTGACAAATAGCAGCAGGGGGGAGGGGTAACGCAGGCTGCCGCGTTACCCCTCCCCCCTGGGTGGTTCTTCCCTCGCGACACGCGTCGAAGGTACGAGGCATCGATCAAAAATCGTGACTGCGCATACATTATCGCGCCGCGGTGCCGAGGCCGAGAGCGAGAGACAGAGAGATAGAGAGAGAGATAGAGAGAGAGAGAGAGTCGGTCGCGCGAGCGCGTGCCCTGAAAAATCGAGGATCCGAGGAGGCGGTGGCGGCGGCGGCGGCGACGAGCCGCGAAGAATAATACGCGCGCGCTGCCGCACGTCCGAT